AGATGCCGGTGTCAAGAAGTCGGAGGTTCATAAGGTGCGCGCCTATCTTCTGCGAATGTCGCGTGACCGTGTCATTGACGCCTCTACTGAACAGATCGTTCTCGTCAGTGGGTCCACTCATATCCCCAAGGTCCAGCAGCTCCTAAAGGAGTTCTTCAGCGGTAAGGATCCTTCCAGGGGTGCCAACCCAGATGCAGCCGCTGTGTACAGTCAAGCAGTACCAGAAGAAGACCAGCACCGATATTAGCAAGAACCTGGGTGTGCTCGGAAAACTCAAGCGTGAGGTAGAGAAGGCCAAGCATACGCTCTCCGCCCAGCAGTCGACTCGCATTGAAATCGAAGCCTTCGAGAACGACAACGACTTCTCCAAGACACTTACCCGCGCTAAGTTCGAGGAGCTCAACATGGACCTCTTCCGTCGTACCATGAAGCCCGTCAAGCAGGTTCTCAAAGATGCCGGCGTCAAGAAGTCGGAGGTTCAAGAGGTGCGCGCCTATCTTCTGCGGAAGTCGCGTGACCGTGTCATGGACGCCTCCACTGAACAAATCGTTCTCGTCAGTGGGTCCACTCATATCCCCAAGGTCCAGCAGCTCCTAAAGGCATTCTTCAGCGGCAGGAAGCCTTCCAAGGGTCCCAACCCAGATGAGGCCGTCGCGCAAGACACTACTATCCTAGATGGCATCCTTTCAGGTGACGAGAGTTTGCCTGCCATAGTCCTCGTCAATGTTTGCCCGCTTACGCACAGTATTGAGACCACCAGCAGTGTCGTGACCAAGGTCATTCTTCGCAACATGGGTCTCCTCACTCACAAGAGCCTGATGTACGTTGTACTCGCTGTGATAGATCACATTTTTGATACCGACACCTTCTTTCTAGCTTCTCAACTGCCACCGACAACCAGCCCACCGTACTGTTCCAGGTCTACGAGGGTGAGCGTTTGTTGAAGAAGGAGAACAATAGTCTCGGCCAGTTCGAGCTCTCCGGTATCCCGCCTTCGCCCCGCGGTGCTTCTCAGTTCGAGGGCACCTTTGAGGTTGACACCAACGGTACCATGAAGGTCTCTGCGGCCGACAAGGGAACGTATGTGCCTTTTTCATCAATGTCTTGCATGAGTGCATTGCTTACGTTCCTACAACACCAAGTACGAGTACATAACCATCACAAGCTAAAAGGGTCGTCTGTCCAAGGACAACATCGAGCGCATGATTCGCGAGGCTGAGGAGTTCGCCGCGGGGGACGAGGCCCAGCAAACGTGCTTCAAGGCTCTCAACTCGCTCTCTTCCTTCGTTTACACCCTTCAATTGCAGCTCAGTAACCAAGGCAATCTTTGCAGCAGTGTGTCTGAGGAACATAAGAAGACCTTCTCGCACTCGCGAAGGAGATCACCGACTGGCTCAACGCCGGGGGTAACTCTGCGACTGCAAAGGAGCTCGAGGAAAAGTTTCAGAACGCGCAGGCTGTCCTGAACCTGATCACCCCAAAGATGTATGAGAGTGCTGGTGTGGGTAGATCTGGCGGTGATGAGGAGCAAGATCCGTTCTACGCACACGATGAGCCGGAAAGAGCGGACTGAGGCGATAGCCCTGTATATATATTTGCTGTTGAGTAATAGTAGAATAAAATACGTCTGGGACTTCCTGGTGTGAGCTACTGCACTATGGCATTCCACCCAGCAGACCATATCTGCAGACTATCCTCAGCTGATCTGAAGCACTACTATGGCAAGTAGGGCAGGAATACGAAAGCTACAGGGAATATAGTCTAATAGGCAGAGGAGGAAAGGTGTGTGAGATAGTTCTCTCAAACTGGTAGCGCAGCAATTGAGCAAATAAGCGTGATGTTCACATCCAAATGATGCTGTATATTGACAACCGGCCATATTGAAGCTAGATCGGTGCCAGTCAAAGGAATGCATGGTAGAGAGAGGGAGAGGACAGGTCAGGGAATAGGCCTGCATGGAAAGAATGACAGGAGGCGGGACGTGGATTTGCATTGATAAGCCAAAAATGTCTGAGCTTTGCCAGCAAGTGATTGACGGTATTTAAAGATGTCTGCAGTACAAAAGAGGACCACATGAAACCTGCCAGTCATGCAGTTGGCACCACAAGCTCAAAGACACCTGTCTCTACATCAGTCTGTAGCAGATGAGTATGACAGATGTCTATGTGTCGTCTGATCTCTCTGTAAGTAGGTATTGCTGTCTCACCATTAGCTCCATGCACATGACAGAAAATGAAACAACTCACTTATAATAGCATCCACTGGCTCATCGGAGAAGTGGTCCGATAGCCAAGCAACCGAATTTGGGTAATCACGTATACTTTCACGCAGTCTGAACATGGAAATATGAGCACTTCGACATAAGCAGCATATGAACACATACTCATCAGGATCAAGAACCTTTCCGTTGCGACATAGACTTAGCAGGTTCTTCTTGGTGTACAGCCACCACACCTCACACTATTTGAGTGATCAGCATGCAAAAGCCGCAGGGCCAACTTAGGGAATGTATACCATCTGCGATCTGCGAGGTCTGACTTCGGTATCAGGCTGTACCCAAGTTAATACACCGAACCAAACACGGTCTCCAGTCGGATTAACAGTAGGGTCCGGCTTCAGCATGACCCTATGAACAGATGTCAGACCATACAGCACTCAATGCCAGGTAGCAACATACTCACAGATCGCCAGGCTCACTTGTTCTTGCACCGACTGTACGACCTTTAGCATCTACAAGTCTCACTATAGGTACAGACGGAACGCTAAAAGGGAAATAATGATTAGCCTACCAAAGATGTATACGCGTAGGTAATCAGCTTACACATTGTCTCTTATGAATGGAACATCAATGAACGAGATGTGCTCATCCATGTTCATGTCCGTCATTGAGGTAGTCAAGAAATATGGCTCTGACGGTATCAACAACGTCTCATTATATAGTGTATGCTGCACACCGCGCATTGCATAATATGACTGGGAGCCCAGTCCACAGGTGCAGTAGGCTGAGAGCATACCGATGTCACCGATGTCGTAAGTTACGGATGATGTTTAAAGGTATGCAAGATGCATACCACAGAACGGCATATGTATATCAATGACCAGAATGACAGCATATCTTCATCAGATTCCATTCAGGTTTCACACACCTCTCTCGCGCAGCTAGCATGGCTATAACGTAAGACAGCAGCCTGTAACGTCATGTAGACATCATGAAAGTCCATACATTTAGTAGGCGAAGCGGTAGAGCGATTCCTAATAGCACATCTTGTGTTAGAACACACATCATGTACATTAACACGGCATATTGTCTGCTTCCCTGTGAGACACCAAAGACATGCGTATATGGCCACTTAAAGTGAATGCCATACAAAGAAAAAGGGGGCTTTCCAAACAGGGAGAAATATTTACCCAATCAAGGTTGAGATGGGTAATGTATCGGGCTCGCATGGCTTCTGCATCTCATTGAAAGCATTGCATGAGCACTAGATTGACTGGTAATGTGTTATATACTCAGACTCACACAAAAGCCAATACCAAAGTAAGCTCAACAGCAAAACCACTGAACCTCCATACTTGACCCTCTGGTCAAGGTTCAGGAGGCTGAATTTGCCCCAGATATTGGATCGAATGCTATGATGAGAACACATCTGGGCGGCAGTACACAACAACATGCAAAGACAACATCAAACATGGAGTCACAGGGCGTAAAACAGCTGTATAGAACAGAACAAAATAAAACACAGTAGTGGAATGATGGAATTCAGAACTCGACGGCCGTACGCAAAGACATGAGGGAGAGCCAAGACCAAAGCATAACTAACGTTGTTGTTCCAAGCTTGCGACACACAGTCGCATGTGTCATAGACACATCCTAATCATCCGTCTGATTCGCTGAAATACCCATCAGCACACAAACTGCAACAAGACAAGCGGCATACAGCATACCTGGACACTTCATAGTATCATTGTCGTTATGCACAAGAGCCATACGCGCCTGCATTCTTCTGTCCTTCCTCTCTGCCTTCTCTTCCCTGCGCACTGCCCGAGCAGCTCTGCGCTCAGCCCTCTCCAGCGCCTTGGTCTTCTTTCTCTCGTGTAGTATACCCGCACAGGTATCCCGCCATTCAGACATCTCCCGTCTGTATATCATGCCGGGCATGACGAGCGCATCTAAGTCAGGCGCATTGTGATACTCCTCTGGTGCCTCTGGCGGAATATCTGGGTACCTCGGACAGATACCCAACTCCAGCAGCTGCTCGTACGTCTTGCGGATTGGACGGGGTGGAAGGATGCCTTCAGCAATCAGCTCGTCCTTAGTCTTGTGCTTCCTCGCCCGGGAAGTCGGAGCCTGCGCGGACATGCGAGGAACGTAGACATCAGAGCCCGAGCTGCTGAGGCTGGCTTGATCATCTTCAGCCAGTTGATCCTGAGTCCGAGCGATCTGATCACTGTTAAAGAGACGGAGAAGGTATACGAAAGAGGTAGCTCACGCTGTTCTCGTTGGACATGGCGGTACGCGGTCAAGTTGTCGATATTACATCATGTGAACTGATAGCTTGATTTGATATATGAATGACTGGTTAAAGTGGGCCGATAGTCGGCATGAACGAGTCATCCCTGACTAAAAACATCCTGTAGTGGTGTGTGGTTAATCATGGCTTTCAGTTATATATTTTTGGGCCTCATTGAGCAGGTAGGTAGTTGTCAGTAGGTACATGGCCATAGATGAAGCATACATGATGTGAACATGACCAAGTACAGTTGTGCTGGTGCTACATTTGAGCCTTCAATCCACATACAGGGCATATCATGTGGTTATCCACTTGCTATCCGACTTTGAACGAGACTATTTGCCCAAATTTGAATCACTCTGATCACAGTACAAATTCTCTACGATCCCATGGCCAGACATTAAGTGTGTGTATTTGTTTTTGTCTCTGAACCATTCTTATCAGGAAGAATCAGTGCCATCCAGTGAGACGGCACTAACTTCATTTGGCATTTGCGTCATAGCTCATGTGCATGTGACGAGACCATGGGAACAGGTTTCCTCTTTTACCCCTGTGCTACCGTCCTCGTGTTCTCCGCATGGCATCAGGTGCGACTTGACGGCTGCATCATGCTCGCTCAGACTTGACTTTCTACATCCATCAAGATTTCCCATTCACCATTGGATGCATCTCTGATACTTCCTCACGCCTCAGTATGACTTCCATGCTACATTACCTTAGCCGCTCAATCTGATTCACGATTAGATTTGCACACATGTCTTATCTTCACTCGGACTCATTGACCGGCGCTCATGCCGTCCCTCCCGCTAGTCATAGAACTCAGGCAATCCCTGAGATTCTCAGAGAAATTCTGTTGCATGGCACTCCTGCACTTCAGCAGCGCAGTACTTGGGTGACTCGTTATTGGAGAAGTTTGGCACTGGACATTTACTGGCGAGTTGTCTCGCACGACAAGGTTCTCAGGTTCTTAGGCGCATTGAAGGAGCTCACCCGTGACCACCAGGTATGTGTCTCACTTACTCGTGGTTCATCTGGGGGATCTCAAAACGTCGACAGTCTTTTGTAGAACTTCCCAGTCCGAATGATTGGAAAACCTTCGCGCCAGTTGCTTCTAGTGTCCGGCATATCTATTTCTCCCAGAAACAGCGCATCAGTTTCTTTATTTCGAGGGATCTGAATACGTGCCCTTGGATTCCAAAACCCATGTGTCCCAACCTGGCGACCTTTGCATGGGATCCAATGGACAACGCCGATGTCTTTTTGACTTACGCTCTTCATCTGACCTTTGTTCACGCGGGTCTTTCTCACTTATCAATCTACGGGCTACCTTCCTTATGTGCAAGGGACTCCCTGCATTATTCTCTCCGGTCTGTTGGGAGAGACATCGGCTTTCTAGCCCACAATTTGACCTCGCTCACCATCACGGCTAGACATGCTCCGCCTCGCGAAAACATGCCGGGCTTTCAAAGCCACCTTGTAATGGCCTTGAACAGTATAAACCTGGACCGATTACGGCAATTGACAATGTCACTTTGTTTCCTCACAAAGGAGATATATGAGACTCTCAAAGTCGCGCATGCTCTAGAGCGTCTTAACTGCCCCACATTATCGACCGATTTATGGCAGGAAACCCTACAGGGAGACATAAGCCATGCATTGACGCTACACTCTAATGTTCAGATAGAACCCGGATCATTCGGTTCTTTGGAGTCCGTCACGTTGTGTATGGAGCTGCACAACGTCACGCATCTATTATCTCTTGGCGCTTTTCCTGCTGGTCAGCTCACTAGCCTGTCCATTCGAGTTACTGGATTTCTCCCGAGTATCAGCGGCGGCGGAGCTTCAAGACGTTCCATTGGAAACGCTGAGCTCTCTGAGTTTTTGTATACTTTCGGCACACGATGCCACAGGTCGAGCGTGCTGTTTATAGCACTTGATCATCCAAGCCTGGACTTGAACGGCGAAGAAGAAGTTCTCACTGTACAGTCATTGGAGCACTTGAGAAAAGCTACTTGGTTGGAAACATTGATCATCAACAATGGGAGTCTATTCAACGTGTCTGAAGATGAACTTCTGTTTGTCATTGAGCCCTTGGTCAAGCTATCAACCTTCTGGCTTGCCCCCACGCCGGAATGGCGGACAATGCCAGCGTCTCCGCCTCCCCCACTCCATGATCTGCGCACAGTAAGGCGCATTATAGAGGGACACCAATACTTAAGAAGTGTTGGGATGTATTTGAACCTCTCGGCGGATGTCAACGTCCAAGTTGACCAACAGGCTTCACAACTCGACGAGTTGTTCATTGGGACCAGCCCTTGTCCGCCGGAAGTATCTCTGGAGGCATTGAAATCGTACCTTCGGGAAGGAGATGGTGTGTCCTCTATATTAGTGGGAAGAGGCCCTTGGACCAGATTTGGGTTTCAAAAGCTTCAGACGCACAGGGTGAAAAGGATTGAACGTGATTTGATGGAGGTTTGGGAATGGGCACGTTATATCGATCAGGATAATATCCCGCGTTCTCTCAAGAACGCCGTGCGGCTAGTGATATCAAGTACATAGTCTGTAAACTTTCGCTGTGTTTTTTGAATTGTATGTTGAAGTATGTATTCCGGTGGATCACATATTCATGCCATTGTCTTGTTCAATCATCCAGGTAACTATATGACGTGTTTGTCTGATATGCTCCCTCTGGCAGAGAAATCACTTGCGCATTCTATACCCTGGATAGGGTAGCTATTTGTTGAAAAAGTAGAAGGAGACAGGAACTCTATGTATGGTCTATCTTTGTAGGCAAATCAGACTGTTGGAATTGAAGAGCGGAGAGTGCTGCAAGTCTAGTTGATTATCACAGGCATCATAGGGAGAATGATACATTACAATGTCATGTAATGTCTATTGATATCATCAGATATTGGGAAGTAAGAATGTAGCACCGGTGAAGTATCTTTCAGAAGAACCCCCATCTTTCCGGCTCTCCACAGCTGTCTGCTATTTCAGATGAGTACACTTGTCACTCGATATTTTATGTGGATGACGGACCTGGATCTGAATCATGCCGTCTGGGAAAGGCTCCTTGCCACTATCCGGAAAGGGTGCAAGAAGTCCAGGGCGAGCTAGTGATGTGACAGGGTGTCCCTGTACATGTCTCCCTTCTTTCTCCACCCTGCATTGCGTGACATAGCATTTGACTGTATCAGCTATGCTATAATCTCTTCCTTTCACAGAGTATCTCTCTAGATCATCGTAGAACAGCGCCTCCCACTCCATCTGCCGAATCTTCATCCTGCTTCCAGCATGCATCCGACTGACGTCCTCTTCTATAAGCTGAGGGGCCCGTGTATGGGGGATCCTCTTGGGATGAAAGTCGAGACGATCAGAGATGGTTCCCACCATGACGCGCGGCCAGGTCAGATGCCCCAGAGGGACATGGCTGATCTTCAGTCTTCCAGGAGCCCATTGGTTGGCTTCCAAGAAAGTGTACGAGGGGTTGGTCGGTCTATCGCCTCCATCAAGACAAAACCCCATTAAAGATACGTTCAAGGTGAACCCGAGTAAGCCAGGGTATATAGGCTCTTCGGGACGTAGCAATCCCGGCTCGTGCACATCCGGCAGAACGTAACGCAGGTAGACCTGTCGATCGAGTGTAAACGTCGTATCTTGATCGATAAAGCTGCCACAAGGATAAGGCATGCCAACATCCCCCCCAATCGCTGGCAGTCCACCGTAAAAGCCGGAGTTTAAGAACACAGATATGGGGGACTGGAGCTCAAAAGCCAGGGAACCGTGACGATTGAGATAGTAGACACGAAACGTCGTCTCGCAAGTAGGCGGGGTATCATACAGCACAGGCTCCGTATCCTCTGTACTTTGCTGTTCCCGTAGGTGAAGGGCATCGATGTATTCGCTTTCGTGTGACAGTAGGTCAGGATGGCCGCCGCTAGGCTTCAGAACAATCAACGTCGTTTTGTCAATGAAGGTGACAAAGCCAAAGGGGGGACTGATCTATCAATCACAACATGCATCAGCGCAGGTAGCGGAAGAAATAAATAGGATCCTGACCGTCATTATAACTGCACCTATATTTAATTCGGCAACACAGATGTCAAATACATGACTTGATGTTTCTCTTGCACCGATATCTGCATGCCCATGATGTACGGCGGGAAACAGAATATGCACACCGCACAGGGCAATCGATGTGCGCTGTTTGAATATCGTCGAGGCCGGGTTGACTTCTATGCCTTCAGGCGACCATCGACTGACTTGAAACTGCCCATACGGCACACCGGTGCATATATCCACCGCTTGGAATGCCACTCTGTATAGAAGGCTATGAGCTTGCTGACTACCAACCGTACAGTCAAAGGACATACCTGCAGTAGCCTGTACGCATGTGTGTGGTATCTCGGTTTTGAATGATAACGAACACCGCAAAGCCGTCGCCACTCAGTAGTACACGATCAACGTATTCGGAGCCGATATTTGATACAGGTACGACGGATGCCGCACTCCAGTTCCACGTGCGTAAGCCATCTCTCCCACGATGTGGCGCAGGAGCCAATGCAGTAGTCACTCGTCCGTCTTTGTCCATTCCAAGAAACATGCCCATGGCATGTGCCATATGAACCGTTTCAGAGGACATGATGACTGGAACACGCGTGTAGTGATCGTGTATAGTGATAAGCGAGCTATACCAGCTCTCTAGGCTGCTTTTCAGGGATGCCAGATCAGCATATGGTCTAGGACCAAGGAGGCAACCGTAGGTAGCGCATATAGCCTGAGCGACAAAATCGGGCTTGTGATGCTCCACCCATTTCTTCATTTCTCGACTGGTACTCCGTAGGATCAACAGCGTTGCCAGAGGGATATAAGCTGTAATGGCACAATATGGCTCGGGCGCCCAGAGCCTTCCGCAGACTAGCCGATCGAGGATGAATGGGAAGGGATGTATTCTGTCCTTAGCCGGGAAAGTCCAGAACTTTGAGTCTATGGCGTCC